AAAGCATCACATCTCCATTGTCGGCAACGAAGTTACCGAAGGCTTCGATGCTATAAACACGCACGAACACGTGGTTAAAGATGTCTCCCGCAGGGAGGCCAGAGGAAGCAAAGTACGGCAATGCAGTGTACTGAGCACCAAGGCGCAGGAGCCGTGGTCCTCGCCAGTAGTTGCATGTCGTCTTGACAATCGCGCCATCGATGCCGTGATCCAGCGCACGCTGTCGCAAAAAAACTATGTCGAACGATTCATTGTACTTAGTCCCATCCCATATGAATCTTCCCGTAACCGTATCCTCGTGGTGGGCAGCTTCTGCCCGCACCGCTTGATGCCACACAGCATCCTCAGCACTTCTACCTGGTCCGAACGCCCAGTATTTGCGAGGGCACCTATCGCTGAAATCTACAACCACAGGGCGCCTCAACCACTCCCAGACCCGCACGGGTCCAGCACACAGCAAAATGGGTCTAAGCCCGCCCTTGGGTTTCTCGAGCAGGGGAAACAAAAGCCAGAACAACTGCTTGTGGAAAAGGCCCAGGGACTCAATCGCTTGGATAAGCGCCGGGAAGGTTCAAGAGACGCGTCCGAGTCGAGGCTGACATGACGCGGATGAAATCCGCCCAGGGATTGAGACGCGTGGTGGCTGAAAGAACTCGACGCGCTCCGCAGCTCAGCCACACTAGGCCGAGGCAAGTGAACTCGGTCGGGCACACAAGCTTCGGGTGGCACATGGGACGCACGCCACAACTTAGCCAGCTCCTCACCCTCACGTCGAAGGCGGCGCTGCGGATTACTAGAAAACACGCCAGGGTGGGTCTGAACGACCGTGGGATGCCACTTCGATTTTAACTTGGTGAGCCTACGCATGGCCCTAGCGCCCCCCTCCAAAGCCTGCTCCTGCCATTGGTCCCAGATGTCCTGCTGCTGCTGATCAATGGCCTTCTTGGCCGAGAGGAGCTCGTCCTCCCACGAACTTAAAAACTCCCGGCACTCGTCGCACCAGCTACTCCAGGGGCCTGGCGAGGGAAACCTGCTCGCCAAACTCCGAGCTTGCCGCAGGGTCGAATCGAGGCGAATGCTCGCTTCTTCGCCTGGACACGGGAGGCCGAGAAGTTGCTGTATTTGGAGGTGCGTGTCTTCCATCAAATTGTCACGAACGGTGATTTCATCCAATCCCTCGGGCTCCTCAGCAGCCTTCTCGGCCGCCTGATGCAGCCTCGCAGAGGCCCCAAGCGTTTCTTTAAGATGCTGGGCCAACCACAACCAACCCCGAGAAACAGACAGAGTTTCAATCGACCGAGGCTCGGCAAAAATCGGGACCCACTTTGGTTTAAGATAATCTCCTCGAAAACCTTTGCACCTCACCGTCTGTCTCTCCCGTATAGCTTTCGAGCTCGAGCTCGAAGGTGTTGGCAAAGTGCTGCCACGCGATCGAGAGCAGGGCCCACGCCTGCCCAACAGGGGCCTCAAGAGCAGCTTCGGCGGCCGCTTCAGCCACCGAACGAGCAAGTCTCCAGTCCTGTGGCTTGGGCAAGGGTCCTACAGGCAGACGTGTGGGCAAACGCTGGTGGGCTCGGTACTGGGGCTGATAGCATCTCACGGCGTCGGGTTTCAGCCTGAGGACCACGGGTCGACGGGGCCGATGGGCCCAGTCGAGGACCGCCTGAACACCGTCACTGGCCTTAGCGAGGCCAGAGCTAACCAGAAAGTAATCGATCGTGGTCAAACTATTAGGGGAGAGACACGTTTTTTGACCAGGAACGAAGCTCCCCCCGTCCGAGAACCCACGCCAGACGCGTCCACAAGCATGGGGTCTAGGTTCCAGTCACATCCGACAGGAAAATTGTGCTCCCCTTGCAGGCGTTCACACATAAGACGGAGCAACTGGATGTTTAACTTGCACATACCCGCCCCGCTCTTGAGGTAACCACTAACGACCTGCAAGGGGGCCATCCTGGCATGTCAACAACATGGATCAGGCGCCCAGGAAACAGGATTCCCTTCCCTTGCGACCCGCTGGCCGGCGAAGGCCAAGGTGCGAGCGAACAAACACCGCCACCCCCGCCCTGGTTCGGTTACCCTCACCAGGGGGGGATGGGGAAGAAAGCATTTTCCACCCGAGAGCCCCCGCAGCACTAGCTTGTTCACCCTCCCGCTCCTCGAGGAAGCCCACCTCCTGCGCCAGCAGGATACTTGCCGAAGAAATACGCCACCGCTCTCGTAGAGTGGACCAGCAGTTGCCGTTATACGTTTCGAAGCAGCTGCCCTGGCCAACAAGCTCGGAGGGCAAGTGGGACGAGGCAGGGGGGGGGCGGAGGTGGTGCAGGAACTCCGAATTTAGAAAGCTTGAGTCCGCAGCACAGCGGCAGACTCTGGCTAAACTCGCGGCTTGACGCGGCGCAGCTGGCTGCCGAACCGCTCAGAAAAAATGGCCTTATCAAATCCCTCCTCCCTGGCGGCTTGGATGATGTCGTCGATGATGGTGTCATCGAGGTCATCCAGGTCCATGTCGCCGGGCACTCGTACGTTGGCCGCGCCAGGGTCGCCGCTGCCGCTGCTGTCATCAGGCTCAGCAGGTGGGCGAGAGGGCGCACGATCGTCACCAGTCGAGAATGGTGATGTCGCCGCCGCGGGTTTGGGCGCCTCTCGCGCCCTGAGACTCCCTCCAAGAACCTCTACAAACACCTTGAACGTTTCGGACTGCATGAAAGCCTTGAGTGCTTCAGCCTGAGGGTGTTGATCCAATACTGCCTGATCGATCTCCAGATTGACTTTGGGAGCCATCGGTAGAGTGTCGACCAGCTCGCAGTTGAGTAAAGTAATCTCTTCATCCGCTGCTTCGACTTGAGCACGGAGAGTGTCGACTCGTTCTTCGGCTGCACGAATAACCTCCAACTGTTCCGTGATGGTCTGCTCGAGCTTCTGCCTGCGCGTCTTCGCGCGAGACAGTCGATGCCCAAAATTCGTATGCTGAGTGAGTTCAGGTTTCGTAGCCGCCAATGACTTGCGTGCATCCGCCAGCTGCCTCTCCAGCGACTCACATGCTTCTTTACCAACTTCGCCAGGCAGTGACTTGCACGATGAAATCGAGCTCTCCAGCTGCTTGATCTTCCCCTTGAGCTTGTCGGCCTCGGTGAGCTGCTTAGCTTCGGACTGGGGCGCAGGAGGTGTTGGGCTGGACCCATTCCCCTTGGACGCCACCATCGCATCGAACCTCTTCTGCAGCGCTTCGAGTTTCTGCTGGAGCGGGTCTTGTCCAGCCTGCGTACGACGACGAGGAGGGCGTTCACGCTCAGCAGTAGAAGCACGCTCACGAGCACGACGAGCCACGTCAGGTGGTGCACGTTCTCCGCACTGACATACGATGCGGCTTGCCCAATTAGAATGTATCCCGCATGCGCTGCAAGCCCATGTGGGCAGGCGGGGGCCCGCCAGAACGTCTCCAGCTCCCCCTCCGCCATTGGCCATGGATAGCCCAGCTGCTGGGCAGGATGGCTTGCCTCCTCGGAGGCCCGAAAGACTGTAGCCAAAAAGGCACGCAGCAGCGACTGCCGCTCTGAAGACTGCTGCTGCAAGCCCAAAAACACTTGGGCCAGAACGGCTGGAGAGCCAGACCAACGGAGGGGCGACACGAGGAGGAGCAACAGGAGGACAAGAGAGAAAGGAAGAGAAGGAGGAGGAGGAGGAAGACAGGAGAAAATGGCACGACAGAGTATTTCGGGATAGGGGAGGGAGAGGGTCGCCAACACGACGCCCCCGTAGGGAGCCCCCAAGAAACTGAAGTTTTCTAAGGGAGCTTCGGCTGCATCAGCGGCCCTGCGGTGACTGTCGTTCCTGCAGCTCGTGCTCGTGTAGCCTCGCCCTGAACGTCTCCCTCCGCCCTCTCCCCCCCCCCCCACCCTTTGGCCCGTGCCAGGGCGGCGTGGAGGCTGCGGTGAGATGGCTTCAGTCGGCCGTTCGCGGCCCGGGCTCGCCAGGGGCCCTGGGGTTCGGCGGCTCACCCCCAGCATCCATCCCGCCCTGGTGCTGGTCGGATTCCGTCTTTACAGGCTGAGCACCAACCCTCTCTTGCCCGGGGTGCGGTGGTTCGGGTACGCCTTGCGGTTCCGTGGAACTGCCTTCTGCGGCGCACTTGCAAGAAACGGGTACGCCTGGCGGTCCCGTGGGACCGCCATGTGCGGCGCTCGTGCGAAAAAACAGGGATGCAGAGTAACGATATGCGCAGGTGGGCGAAGTGCCAAGGATGCCGACGAAGAAGAGCGACGATCTGAGGAATGCGGGGGCGGCAGGGGAGTAACGCAGCTGGCGACGGGCGCAAAGGGATGGGAGTGGGCCAGCTGTCCGTTCCACGTGTCGCCGCCGTCGTGAAATGGCGTTGCACGTGTGGCACCTGTCACGCCCATCACCGCTCAGTAGATTTTCGTCGGGATCTATTCCAAAAAAGTTCCTCGCCAACTTAGTTTATGCTCAATTCCCGCCCGCGCGGTGGGCCCAAAACTGCCTTCCTGCCAGATGGCGGAGGGGAAGAGGAGGGCAGATTGCAGACGAAAGAGGTGCGGGAACGCTTCGCCCATCGTCGGGGCGCGAAATCGGGCGCGGCGAAGAAGATGCTGGACACACGCTTTCCTCCGCCTCCGCCCCCTTCTCCAGCCTAACCCTCCCCGACCCACACAAGAGGAAAGAAGTAGGACGAGGAGGGAAAGCAGGCTCAGGAAAGAAAAAGCGGGCGGGCAGGAGGTGGGGGGAAGGCTGGGAGAAAACCACTCATGGCGTTGTCGTTGGGGTCGGCGTTCGCGCCCTTCGGCGCCAGCGTAACCGTTGTCGTCGTCGTGGGCGAGGTCGCTGCGGCTGGGGCGCCAATGATATGGACCTGGTAGATGTGGTTCCACAAAAGTTTGCCGTTCACTGTCGTCCTCAGCTTTGCGCGCCGCTTCCTCCTTGGAGTATCGGACAATCGCTGTTTTGCGGTCGACCTGCATGGCGTGGATGGGCCCGAATAGCTAGACGGCGGCCTGGACCCCAGAGAAATCTAGCTCGCGAGGGCTGGAGATGCGGATGGCGTTGTGGGCCCGGGCGCTCTTGGCGTTGACGCCATCGTAGTACGTGTTCGAGCTGGCCTTCTCGTGGTCGGCCTCTTGGCCCTGCGAGCCGTGCTCGTGGACGTCGGCACTGGGTTCGAGGTCGGCGTCGCTGTATGCGGCGAAACGGGCCGTCTTCCCGGCGAACTTGGTCGCTGCAGCTGAAGGCATTGATTCATCATATCGAGGCGAGTCCAGCCGTGGCGACGGGGGAGGGGTCCTCGGTGACATATCCCGAGGGCTAGGTGAGGGGGGCCACCGAGGGGATCCCGAGGGGGGATTCCATATTTGTCAGTTCTTCTGGCATGTTGCCTGGGTCTACTCCGGGGCGGAGCGCCTAAGAAGGCAAACGAGAGGGGGGCCCTCTGAGGCAGTCGAAAACGACGCGTCGCTCCTGCCAGCTGCCAGCCCCCCTCCTCCTCCTCCTCCTCCTCCTCCTCCTCCTCCTCCTCCTCCTCCTCCTCCTCGTCCTCGTCCTCCTCCTCCTCCTCCTCCTCCTCCTCCTCCTCCTCCTCCTCCTGCTGGAAGGAGAGCGGCCACGGCGGCATGGCAGGGAGTCGGACCCTCATCCTCGTGTACCTCCAGCCTCCGGAGGTGGTCTGTCTCCTCGGTCTCGTCGAAATCGCAAACGGCACTGGTGACGAAGCTGGCGGTGTGACTGATGTTGCCGTTGCAATTGTAATAGTAAATGTAGTAGGGGCTGAAGTTCGGCAGCTCGCAGTGCTCCTCGTGGTGGTAGTTGTGCACGAAGGCATCCAAGAACATGTCAGGGATATCGGTGCAGATCGTGACACTGCTCGGTTCGATGACATGGGCGTCGGGGTTGAGGGTGGTAGCGGACGTGTCGATCCAGCGTCCTGGCGGCGCTGCCGGGGCTCGACTGGCGCCAGTCATCACAATAGTGATGCATTTGTCTTTTTCGCCGCGACTCTTACCGCCGAGGTTGTACTTGATGATGGCGGCCACCTCGGCCCAGTCCTTGGTATTGACTGGGCGGCCGCGCCGTGCGCCGTATAGTCGGACCTAGGCCAGAAGAACATCCCTCAAGAACATGAGACCCTCCGTCGGCCAGAACAAACAGATTATCCAAGGGCACCCTCCCCAGAAAGCACAAGAGCATCCAACACACACACACACACACACACACACACACACACGAAGAATACATAGTAGGGCATCCTTCCGGAACCGACATCGATCTTATACCTCGGTCCAACTGTAGCCGAGGCGGGCGTAGGCCTTGCGCAAAGCCTTCCCTGTGCAGGGAGGCCTGAAGGCGACCCTGGGAAGCCCGCCACCCGGATACTTCTCGATGATCGGCGTGGTGTCGCGGGCGCCACGTTCGTGGGCGGTGGCGCTGTCGCCCAGCGCCATGGCGCGATCCGGCCGTGTGCCACGCTTAGCCAGCCGCCCTCCTGCGGGACCCCCCCCACCCCTTCGGAGGGGCTGAGCGGAGAGGTCTCCCCCGCCAAAGGCGGCGGCTTTCCTCCTCCTCCTCCGCCTCCTCCTCCTCCTCCTGTCCTCCCCCTCCTCCTCCTCCCTCCTCCTCCTCCTCTCCTCCTCCTCCTCCTCCTCCTCCTCCTCCTCTCTCCCCATCCTCATCCTCCGCCTCCTCCTCCTCCTCCTCCTCCTCCTCCTCCTTCTCCCTCCTCTCCTGCTTCTCCCTCTCCTCCTTTCCCTGCTTCTCCTCTCCTCCTCCTCCTTCTCCTCCTCCTCCTCCTCCTCCTCCTCCTCTTCTCCTCCTCCCCCCCTCCTTCCTCCTCCCCCTCCTCATCCTCCCCCTCTCCTCCTCCTCCTCCTCTCCTCCACCATCCTCTCATCCTCTTCTCCTCATCCTCATCCTCGGCTTCTCCCCCTCCACCTCCTCCTCCTCCTCCTCCTCCTCCTCCTCCTCCTCCCCTCCTCCTCGTCCTCATGTTCCTCGTCCGTTTCCTCCTCCTTCTCCTCATCCTCATCCTCCGCCTCCTCCTCCTCCTCTCCACCTCCTCCTCATCCTCCTCCTCCTCCCCCTCCCCCTCCTCCTTCTCCTCCTCCTCTTATTACTAGTAGCAGTTTTAGTATGATTATTCTTATGATTGATAGCATTCTTCTTTGACATATAAGTATCAGTATTCTTACTCTTATATGTAAAACTATTATTAACAATAGCATTAGTATTAATAGCAGTAGTGGTAGTATCATTAGTATCACTCGTTAGTAGTATTAGTAGTAGTAGTAGTAGTAGTAGTAGTAGTAGTAGTAGTAGTAGTAGTAGTAGTAGTAGTAGTAGGAGGAGGAGTAGTAGTAGTAGTAGTAGAAATAGTAGAAATAGTAGAAATAGAAGATAGAAGATAGTAGTAGTAGTAGTAGTAGTAGTAGTAGTAGTAGTAGTAGTAGTAGTAGTAGTAGTAGTAGTAGTAGTAGTAGTAGTAGTAGTAGTAGTAGTAGTAGTATGATTAATAGTAGTAGTATTAGTAGTCTTATTGTTATTAATGTTACGATTAAGTTTAGCATGCGTATTCTTAGTATCAGTATTAGTATCACTAATATTATCATTATTAGTCTTAGTATTAATATTAGTAGTACTCCTCCTCCTCCTCCTCATCCTCCCCC